AGCCTTGTACAAAAATTTTCACAGTTGGGGTGCCTGGGTGGCTCAGTGGGTTAAAGCCTCTGCCTTCGGCTCAGGTCATGATCCCAGGATCCTGGGATCGAGCCCCCCATCAGGCTCTCTGCTCAGCAGGGAGGCTGCTTTCCTTCCTCTCTCTCTGCCTGCCTCTCTGCCTACTTGTTATCTCTGTCTGTCAAATAAATAAATAAAATCTTTTTTAAAAAATTTAAAAAAAATTTCACAGGAGCTTTATTTGTAAGTCCCTAACTTGGAAACAAATCAAATGTCCAACCACTGGTAAGTGGCACTTAAAAAGCTGCTATCCATACAGTGGAACCCGACTGGGCGGCAGAAACAAACTGCTGTTATCCTCAACATGGATGGGTCTCCGCATCATTCTGCCGAGTCAGAGAAGCCAGACACAAAAGGGCACATACTGTTTGATTCCATTTATGTAAAATTCTAGAAAATGCCAAGGAATCTGCAGTGACGGAAAGCAGATCAAGGTTTGCCTGGGAACGGGAGTAGAGAAAGATGGACTACAAAGGGGCGAAAAATGAGAGAAAAGCTCTGTATCATGATCTGTATCGTGGTTTCACAGGATGAATGCAACTTGAATTGTGTACTTTAGGTACTGTTCTTTGTACAAAAATTATGGTGCAGTAAATTAATTTTTGTGCTGCATTTATTACATTAAAAAAAGTCACCCTCTGCCCCTGCCCTTGTAATCCAGAAAAGTAACATGCAGTACAAAAAGTTGATTTGGAACCACTCTATTCTATTCTAAACAGTGTGAAATTAGCTGTAAAGTAGACAGAGAAGGGTTTCTGGCTGCTTTAAAGTAAGCAAATGGGATCATGTATGATGAACATTACTAACATTCACCAAATACTTCCAGCTCTCTTTCCGGGCACATGGTAGACTTCATTTCCCTGTCACTTACAAAATGAAGTGTGGCTAGTGAAATGTGAGTGTGTAAGTAGTACGTGTCCCCTCCAGGTGGAAGCTTCTAGAGCAGCTTTGGATTTGGCACATTCTCTCTCCCTTCTGAAGAGATCAGAGAACGCATTGCATGGGAATTTCTAGGTTACTGAGTGGCTATGATAAACAGAGCATCTTCCCCTTTCTCACCTCCCCACACTCTGTGATGAACATGTAAGGAAAATGGGGGAAAAAAAAATCTTGTTACCCTAAGCCTCTGAAATTTGGAGACTGCTTATAAGTGTTCCAGAAGCAATCTGTCCTTTCCCACACCACGTGCAGTTTTAGGTGGAACTCTGACAATGTTTTAGAAGAAGGGTTTCTGAGAGAACTTGCAGGGGATGAGCTAGAAAGCTATTGTCATTCACAGATGATGAGTGCAGTACCAGGCCATGTGAATCCTGAGGGAATTGGTGACATCATTCAACTGCATTCATTTAACAACAGTAAAGAACTCCAAAAAGACCCCTGTCCTCATGGGGCTTCCACTCACATGAAGGGAGGCAAACGCTATGCATTTAAGCACTGTGTAGAAAACAAACATGATATTGTGATGATGAAAAAGGGCAAAGTAATAATATCAAGCTTGTCAGAGGCAATGACCACTTGGTTCAAAACCCTCACCTGCTCTCAGTGTGAAAAGTAGAGGTCTCTGTGTCCTCTGTACAGACAAAAAGAACCATCCCCACTTTACGTTACTTAGTACATTGGATGGGATAACTGGGTGATGGGCATTAAGGAGGGCACATGAGGTGATGAGCCCTGGGTGTTATACCCAACTAATGAGTCACTGAACATTATATCAAAAGTACTAGTGAAGTACTTAGAAAAATAAAGACAAATTGAAAAAAAAAAGAGAAAAATAAAGAAACAACAGTGGAAAAAACAACTCTCTCGACCCCAAGCCTATTTTTTTAAAAATCAAGAATTCTGATTTATAGACACCACCTAGTGAGTATACCAAATATTTTGTGTGTGTGAGAGAGACTATTCTTTTTTATTTAAATGTATGTATAGCTGACCTAGAATCTGATATTAGTTTCAGGTATACAATGCTGTACCAGAGGGAATGTATGTATGTGGTGTGGAGGTAACGAACGGGAGGTGAAATGTGGCTGTTAGAAAAGCCACTTCTCAAAGTTTAATGTGAGGAGGCTCAGCAGAGACCTTGCTGAATGCAGGCTCTGATTCAATGGGTCTGGGGTGGTACCTGAAACTGTGCATTTCTAACCAGCTCTCCAGGAGACCAAAACTACTGTTCCCAGGGATACCAAGTAGCAAGGTTCTAGATGTTTTAGTACTTGGCTGACCTCAAGGGAGCTGGTGGGACGTGCTTGGCCATTACCCCTTTCCTACTGAGCTGAGAAGAGCTTGTGCCACCATTTCTCATTGGGTTCACCCTCTTTTCCTTTATGCAACTGGAGAATCGGATCCCAAGATACAATTGTTTTGTGAAGACCCTGGACAGAGGGCTTCTAATGCATTACCACTCTGGATTCCTACAACTCCTGATGGTGGGTGCTATGATTATGCCCATTTTACAGAAGAGAATATCCCACATCAGAAAGGTTAGCTCATACTAGTAAGTGTGAAAAGGATTCAAAATCTAGAGGCTACCCCAAAGACCAAGTTCTTCACCCCTGCTTCCATCTTTCCGTATTTACATCCCAGGCTTCCTTCCTGCTGTGTTGCAGCATCAGAAGTGACATGCACTTGACCGCTGCCTCCCAGTTCAAAGTTAATAAAGCCGAGTCTGACCTGCTGTCAAAATGACTTGGTTTCAGAAAAAAGCAATTAAAAACCAAAATTGAGAGCTCTTCCAAAATTTGGCCAAAAGAAAGAGTACTTAGCACTGGCATTGAGGGTGGTTTTGTTTGTTTGTTTGTTTTTGTTTTTTTTTCTTCCTCTAGGAGGAAATGTCAGTTCATGCAATATTATCATACTTGGAATTCTTAGACACTTTAATTTCATCAACCGAGCTCCTGATGTCCTTTCTCACAAGAGTGACAGGAGAAGTTTCCCTAGAGCCTTCCCTGTCAACAGAAAGAAGCTATGTCCCACACTGCAACATCTGTGGCTTGGACACCCCTGTCTTAATAGAGAGTTTAACATATATCCTGGATTTTTCTACAAAGGAGAGGCCCTAATTCAATTCAGCTAACTGAAATCTGCATGTAAAACAGCAGTTCTCAAACTTGGCTGCACATGGGAATCTCTAGAGAGCTTCAAAACACACCCAAGTCCCACCACTGGAAGGTCTGGTGTGACTGGCTTGGAATCAATTGGGTATCAGGGTTTTCAGAGGTTCCTTAGGAGATTGTAATGCACAGACAGAGTCAACAATTGCTGGCATAAAAAACAGAGGGAAGACAGTAAATTCACTCCCCAACGCCCCCCACCCCCCGCCCAAGCCAGGGTGAGATGCCTTCATTCACTGTCAGGATTTTGCCCACCTACATATCTACAGTAGATCCAATACAGTAAGAGACCTTATTCTAATGGAGAGCAAGTGGTTCCACAATCAATAACTAAAACTCATATTTCCCACGTGGTGCTTGATGACCAAGGACTGCAGATGTCAGCAAACACTGCTTCAGAGCAGGGGGCCTTAAGGTAGAGATGGAATCCAGGTGGTCTGTGATCTTGTATGGCCAAAAAAAGTACACCTCTCTTTTCACTAACCTTTCTTGAAAGTTCGGCACTTCCTGCAGTTCGGAATATAGGCAAAAAATTACAATCCTACTGGTAGCCCTTGAGAGGGCACTTGCTGGTGTTTCCATGTCACATGCTAGTTTTGCTGTCACCACTAGTTTGGGATCACAGGTGTTTGATAGATCTGTTGTTAGATGCAGGTAGTTAGTGCAATAATAATGTCGCACATGTCACTATATCATGACTTTAATACTCTGATAACTGCATCCCAGTAAAACTGGGATTAAATACACAAGATCACAAAATTTAATTTTGTGATCTTGTGTATTTAATGACATGATTACGAAAAGGGGTCTAAATGTCTCCCCAGAGCCCATATGGCCAGTGGCACAAGAAAGGGCAGGAGCCCTGCTCTGAAGATAGTGTCCTAACAAGCCAGATACTGGACCTCCACGAAGAGCACTCTCAGGACGGAGACACCCTGGACAGAGTTGGCTTTTGGTTTCCTCTGCCATTTCCGCAGATAAGATTTACCCTGAAAAGCCAGTTCAGCGCAGCAGAGAATAGGATGGGCTTTCTCTTTCCCCTCAGCTGCCTCTTGCTCTTGGCATTCCGGAGTGCCCAGACTGCCAGGCTGGTAACTCGAGTCTCCAAATTAATCAAAACACAGCGCCCGGTTCAAGCCCGGGCAGACAAGCCCGGGAGCCAGACAAGCTCTCCTCTGGTGACCCCGGGACCCCAACTCCCCGCCCCGCCCGCCACCCCGCGCGCCCCACCCTCAGTTGTCACGCTTCCGCCACTGCCTGCCCCCACCCCCACTCCAGACAGGTGCCCGAGGCCGGGGGCAGCGATTGCGCAGTCTGGGCGGTGGGCGCCTTACCTCAGGGACACCCGCCGCGCCGCGCCTTCCCGCCCCGCCGCGTCCAAATCCACGCGCGACTCGGCGGCGGGGTCTCCGCGCTTTCACCGCCAAGTGCGGCGGCTGCCAGTCGGCGGCGGGTTGAGAAGCGGAGGCTGCGCGAAGGCAGCGCGGCGGCAGCGCGGCGGGAGCGGGAAGCAGGCTGGGCCGCTCGAGTGCGGACGCCCCAGCGCGCCTCCTGCTTAATCTGGGCACGGCCGCTGGCCACTCCCCCAGCCCCGCTGAGTCGCCTCCCCAGCGCACACCCCCAAATTCTCCACCTCCGACCCGCGCCCCCCGGCCCGGCCTCGGCCCCAGGACCTTGGGAGCATCATCTCCTAACCCCTTACCCTGGATCTGCGCCCACCTGCCCCGCAGCGCAGTTTTTTCTCCCCTGCTGGGCACGACGCCCAGGTCGGAGGGACATTGCCTGGTGAGTTGAAGGGGAGGGGGGACGAGGGCGGGACCTAAGCCACTTCTTCCCTCCCTTGGAGCCGCAGTCAAAAACCTCAGTGGGGAGGGACGGACGGCGTGGCTGAGCCCTACATAACCCGCCCCGGGCGGGCTGGCGAGGCGAGCTTCACAACCAGGCTCCCCAACCCGCGTCGCGCAAGGGACGCGGTGGCCGCAGAGCCTGAGGGTCACTGGACACGCCGGGGCTCTGAGCGGGCGCCCACCATGCGCCCCCGGACTGCGCCCAGGACGCCCGTGTTGCTGCGGCTGCTCCTGCTGGTGCTCCTGGCAGCGGCGCCAACGACAGGCAAGGTGAGTGATGGGCTGCGCGATACCCAGCCCCGCGTCCTGGGAACGCACAGGCCCCACCCGCGGGGCGTAGTCCTTGAGTCCCGGTGAGTGCGTGACTTTGGGCTCCACGCCGGTGCTGGGCGGGCAGCCTGGGGGATGCGAGCAAGCGGGCATGCCAGGGTAACAGGTGGAATGCGCTGGGGGAAAGGCTGGTGGAAGAGGAGAGGAACAAGCCTCTCTGGTTCCGTGGGAGTTGAGGATACTGAGGAAAGACCTCCAGAGGCAGAAGATGATAGATGATGATGATGATAGATTAGATAGATAAATAGATAGATAGACAGATAGATAGATAGGGACCGAGGTCTGAGATAATGGCTAGGGATGAGAACACCGGCTCCAGAGAAACACTATGTCATACTGGTGAGTCAGAGCAGGCAGCATGGCCTGGCAGAAAGCATAGAGTGCTGGGGGACTCCCAGCCCTGACATTTCCTAGGTGTCACCTCACACTGAACTCTGACCTCTCTGGGGCTTGGTTCCCCCTTGTCAAAATTCACACTCCAGTGTTCTGTCGCTATTGTTGAGAAATCTTATCACTGAAAACTTATTAGCACCTTAGAAATAAAACTCATGTTAGGATGAATTAAGGAATCTGTCACTTTGATTTTGATCTATAATCTGAGAGATCCCAGATTCATTTAAATGCACTCCATATTTCCTATTCTTTGCTAAGATAAATTAGGTGTCCTCCAAACTATTATAACTTCTAGTTGGCTTGATTTGAACTCGTGAGAGTCAAATTTAACTTGTCAGATGCATCTGTGATTTATACACTTAAAAAGTTAGTTTGGGTGATAGTGCAGCAAAAGTTTCATTTCCAAAGATGAGCAGTTTTACAATTTCATGATTGAGATTGTGATTAGAAGAGTTAATAGTCACATAAATATGTGTTACTACCATATGTAATCTACGTACTTTTTCTTTTAAATTAAGACATGAAAGATGAAGCTAAAATCCTCTTTGAGCATCTTTGTACCTCTCCCCCTCCCTATCGAAACAAAAGTCATCCACTCACCACTTCATGTTTCTTTCTGGGCATTTTCTATGCATTTGGGTAGACATAAATGGACCTACAAACAACATGTGATTTTGTTGCTATTTTTTAACATAATCGGTACCATGTTATACTCATCCTTTTGCAACCTACGTCTCTGTCCATGTTATATGTGATATACATTCATCTCTCTTTCTTTTTTTCCCGTTGCATGATTTTCCACAGTATACGAATATGCTAAAGTCCATTGAGGCATCCCCATGTCAATTTACACTTAGGTTATTGAGTATTTTCCATTTTAAGGAATTTTATAATCCATGTAATCTCTTCATGTAGCTGGTTCTAACAGAAATGCACTTTGCATAGACTAGGAATGCCCAACCCAATACTTCGGGCATGGCATATTTTTTTTAAAGATTTTATTTATTTATTTGACAGAGAGAGATCACAAGTAGGCAGAGAGGCAAGCAGAGAGAGAGAGGAGGAAGCAGGCTCCCTGCCGAGCAGAGAGCCCAATGCGGGACTCAATTCCAGGACCCTGAGATCATGACTTGAACTGAAGGCAGAGGCTTAACCCACTGAGCCACCCAGGCGCCCCAGACATGGCATATTAAACTCATCCAAGTTACTGTAGATTGTCTACTATCATTAATCCAGGAGCAAATAAATACAACAAGCAAAAACCTAAAGAAAGTGTATGTTGTGGGAAGGCATGGGGCAGAGGCCCGGAGCAGAGTTTGCACATCCTTCTAGACTCCAAAGAAGAGGAGAGGTAGGGGAAGGAGGCAGGGGGGAAATGAGGGGTATGTAAAGATCAGCCTGGAAAAGTGATGCTCTGTGATCATACAACCTTTAATTATACCAATTTTTAATTATATTGTCATAGTCCCTTATTAGTTTTTACATGTAACATTATTTGTCTTGAGTTTGGTCAAATCTTAATGACTTCTTGCTGATAATACAGTTAATCCATTTGTATTCTTTTTATCATCGTTTGAAGCAAGTTTTTGTTAAAATTGATAATAATGATCATTTCCTTTGCATCTGCTGAATTATATAAAAAGTGTCATTAGAAACCTTGAAATGTGTGTAGAGAAAAAGAATAACAAGTCAACCAGTCACTGGTCTGGGGTTGCCAGGATGGCTCTCTCCATAGGATAACTGTGGCATTGGGCAGGGGACTTGATATCTCTGAGCCTCAAGACAGTCTTTCTGTAAAATGGGGGAATTGAAAGTTCCAGAGGGACCAGCTGGTGAGATACTGACTCAGCCCAAGGGGTATGGACCAGACTTCATTGACATTCTAGAATTCAGGCTCAGTAATACCAGAATCCCTGCCTTCTTCAGGAGAGAAGGGGGGTGGGTAAGGAGTGGGGGGTCCAATTTCCATAAGAAATCTCTCAAACTCCAGATGTTAGCAAATAAGTCAAATTTTGGCAAAACACACAGTGTCTGGGTTGTTTTTTGGTTTTTGTGTTTTTGTAAAAGACTGACCAAACACCGGGCCAAGTAATGTGCATGTGCAGGCTACAGTTAGCCTCTGGACGAGCATGTTTATCATCTTGGGACTGCACTAGTTAAGAATACATTTTGCTCTCAATTTCTGCAGTTGTACCTCAGCAATTTCTTAAATCAGGGAGGTAGTAGTGGCGTTGACTCCACATTCTGAGTTCAGACAGGGTGGAACTGTCCACCCACATAATTTGTTCTCAAGTGCCCTCTGTGAAATCCACTGTGGTTTCAGACCTGGCCTCTCAGGGTTTCCTCAGGTTCATTGCTGTTCCTGGGCCCAGCCCGTCAACCGGAAAACTGGGAGGCACATTGCTGTTGCTTCAGGACATAGATTTGGGAGATGGGCTAGAGAGCGCTCCTTCTCTGATAGCTGCCAAAGGCGAGGTTCATGGTCTGAGGTATGCTTCTACTGCCTTTTTTTCCCTTAAAATTCCAGACAGAGCAGAAACGCTGCAAGCAACTCCCAGGGGCTGAATAACAGTTACATTTTAGGGAGGATGCTTTCTCAACTGATTTCATTCTTAAATTTTAAAAAGTAAGTTGAATTGGGAAACATTCCAAAGAGACAAAAACTAATGTAACAGTAACGTTAAGTAACATAAAAGTAACATCTTTTCCTTTAGGGAAAACAGCATATGAATAAACAAGTCATACACACATTCTTTGCCCCCTCTTCTGTGTATGATTTTGTATTTCCACACTGTGCGTGTGTGCGTATGTGTGTGTTAGTCACCACAAAAAATAAATATTATTGTTTTGTTGTCCTTCAAATGCAATAAATGGTTTCACATTAATAGGTATCTTTTGGCTCTTGTTTGTGTCAATCCATATTACGGTTTTGGATTTCATCCATGTTGATACATATAGATGTGATTCAGGCATATACATAGGATGTGATAGCTGCTACAAGTATCCAGTTATATAAATAAAGCACAGTTTATTTTTCCATCCCCCTAAACACAGGAAGTTTGTTTCCATGGTCTTGTTTCAGGAAGTTGGATTGTAACATCTTCATATAGGTACCATTGTGACAACTAGATTTTGAAAGCCTACCCAGAATGCACCTGTTTCCCTACATCCTCAGCAAAATTTGGTGTGTTTAGATGTTCATGGGCATAAAATAGTTTCCTGTTTTGACTAGTGAGTTTGTGGATCTGTTCTTATTTTAATTGGCAGTTTAGATTACCTCCGGGTGAATTGCATGGCACCAATTTTCCTACCGATCTCTTGTGGCCTTGCCCTTTCCGTTGCTAATAATTAGGAGTTTCTTATGTATTTGGATGCCAAACTTTTGCCATTTAAACATGCAACAAAGATTCCATTCCATTCTCTGGTTTATCTTTTCATCTGGTTACTGGTGTCTTAACATATAAAATTTTTTTCACTATACTCTCAAACTTATTCATTTTTTCTGGACATTTTGTGTTTTGTGTCTCGTTGAAGTAATCCTTTTCTTCCCTGAGATTATGAAAATGTTCTCCTACCTTAAAAAAAAAAAAAAAGAATGTTTTACAATTTAACTCTTTTGCATTTGGGACTCTTAATCCTGGAATTATTTTTCTACTTAACTGATACGGTTTTATCTTTTTCCATATAGATGACAAATTGTCCCAACATTATTTATTAAACAGTGCATTCTTTCCCTTACTGTTTTGCAGTGTTGTATCTGCAAGCTTGTGTACCAATCACTCATTCATAAATGGGTCTATTTGTATTCATTTATGGGACCTTTTATTTAGGGCTTTCACTTCTCATTATTTTTTAGAGCTTTCTGTTTCTTTAATTTCTCAATATTTGATATTTTCAGTACTATTGTAAATGGTATTTTTTTTCAAGACTTAATAGCCTTACTCTCAAAGATATAGCAAACTGGATGAATTCTATATTTTGACCTTAATTAAGCAACTTTAAATAGTTCAAATGTATTTAAGACTAAAAACTTCCCCCAAATATTGCTTTAACTATATCACACACATTTTAATAAGCATTCTTTTAGCATAATTACATTCAGACTCCTTTCTAATTGATTTCTTCATCTATGGGTTATTTACATACTTATTTCTTAATTTCCAAATGTAGATTTTCTAGTTAAATCTTTTTTAATGAAATTATGATAGAGATGATATTCTGTCTTCAAAGATATATGTATATGTATATATATATATGGTCAAGATTTCTTAATCATGTTATTAAAATTATCTGTGCCTGTGTATTTTTTATGTATCCTACTCAGTGGTTATTTAATTTGATAGTCTATAGTTTTCATCAAATCTTCAAAATTCTCAGACATTCCCTTTTTATACTTCTCTTTCCCCACTGTCTCTACTCCTGAAATTCTTAGGATGCATCCTGGACCTTCTTGTCCTCATCTCCAGTTCTCTTAACTTCTTATAACGGAGACCCTTCCTATGCTTCTTGGATCCTCTGGGCCCCACCGTCCTCCTGGGCTTTGGGCA